ACAATCTCTCAGGGCCTATAGGATATCAAAAGGTATCAAGCTAGAATTCCATATTCACTAAAAGTATAGTTCACAAATGAAGACAAAGACATTATCAGACAAAAAAGCAAAAAACAGGTTAGGTGCAGCGGCTCACACCTCTATATTTCAGTGCTTTGGGACACTGAGGCAGGAGGATCACTTGAGCCCAGGAGTTTGAGACCAGCCTGAGTAACATGGTAAGACCCCGTCTTTACAAAAACTACAAAAAATTAGCTGGGTGTGGTGGTATAAGCCTGTAGTCCCACTAGCTGAGGAGGCTGAGGCAGGAGGATCATTTGAACCTGGGAGGTTGAGGCTGCAATGAGCTGTGATCATACCACTGCACTCCAGCCTGAGCAACAAGGCAAGACTCTGTCTTAGAGACAGACAGACAGAGAGACACAGAGATGAGAGAGAGAGAGAGAGAGAGATTGAAACCTGCTCTAAAAGAAAAGTTGTAAGAAATTCTTGAAACCTGCTCTAAAAGAAAAGCTGTAAGAAATTCTTTGGGTGGAAGGGAAATGATATGGGGGTAAGTAGAATATTTTAAAAATTTCAAATAATCCAAAAGGCAGAAAAAGGAGGAACAAAGAGAAAAGTAATTTTAAAAGGCCTAAATCTAACCATGTAAATAATTACATCAAGTGTAAATGTTCAAAACAAACCATTTCAAAGCCAGGGCAACCACTCAGATTTTTTTTCAAAAAAGGGCAAAACTATATGCTGTGCATAACAGCTCAGTTTTCAATGTAAGGATTGATATATACAGATTAAAAGTAAAAAGATGGGAAAAGATGTATCATGCAAACACTAATTACATGAAGGCTACAGTGGCTATATTTCTATCAGGCAAAGCAAACTCCAGAACAAGGAAAATTAGCAGTAATAACTTCAAAATAAAGAAAAAACTGATAGAAATCAAATAGATGATTCCACAATTATACTTAAGAGATTTCAACACTCCTCTCTCAGTAATCCACTGAATACTATGTACACAGCCTACTTCCAAATTAAACCATCTTTTGTTAAATCCAGGCTTGAAAGAGGAAATCTCAAAGAAAATTAGAAAATATGTCGAACTAGACAAAAATGAAAATACAACATATCAAAGTTGTGGGACATAGCAGTGTTTACAAGAAAATTTATCACATTAAATGCTTATATAAGAAAATCAGAAAGATCTCAAACACTTCAGGAAGAAAAAGAAAAACACAAAGCAAGCAGAAGAAAGGGAATAAAGAGAAGTCAATGAAGAAAAAAAAAAAACACAGTGAGAAACAAAACCAAAAGCTAGTACTAAAGATCAATGAAACTAAGAAAACTCTACCTAGGACGATAAGCAAATACTACAAACT